CAAACCTTACCTACCTGCCTTCCCCTTCCGACTAAGCTATTACCCTAGGCAGCAGCAATAAGGGTATACAATAGCACTGCAATTCACGACCTTTAACTAATAATAATCGACTAAAACGAAGCGACGCCTAGCTATAACTAGGTAAGGAGTTATAGTAATCCTTTGCGCCTAGTTGTTAAGTTACGTAGGGAACCTAAGGGATTTGCGCTATTTAATAGTCTTTTCTAAGGCAGCTAGCAGCCTAATAAACTAGTAGAGGTAACTGCCTATTGTCTAACCCTAAAGAAATTAGTCCGCCTAGTTTTCTATAGCGGCACTTCTTTAGAAATATGTAAGGTCGAAGTCTAGTAGGCATGTTTACTTAGTTGATTCGTAACGTGTCTTAAAGGGTCGTATACTCGAGGTCTATATCGTGTCCGTAAGAGTGACTCCGGATATTGCCCGTCTACAGTTTTTTGCCTTTTAGTATTGTTCTTTTTTTTAGCAAAGTCTTACATTTCTCTATGTCCTTTATTTCTCTATATCCTTTATTTCTCTATATCCTTTATTTCTCTATGTCCTTTATTACTTATGCTTGCTCTTTTACTGTTAAGGGTCGCTACAGATTTGGTTTGTTTTAGTATAGAAGGTCGCTATAGGTTGTTATATGCGGAATAGGCAGGCAGCGGTAGTATATTACTAGTGTCGTAGGGTGCTTAGCAGGTGTCGTATAGTACTAGTCGTATAGTACTAGTCGCATTGTGTCGAGTTGTGTCGTACTGTACTATTAGGGGATAGTAGTGCTATTGTCGCATTATAGTATTGCCTTTGTTATAGGAAGTAACGTAACGTAAAAGTCTAGCCTAAGGTTAAGTAGTACGTAACTCGGATTCGACTTTAGACCAATTAGAGGGCTCGGTTAGTTTTGCGGGCGTATCTTTAAAATTTAGCCTCCCTATACTACTACTACTACGACCACTAACACTACTACTACTAATACGTATACGTTATTAGCACTAATCTGATTTATTCTCGATCTCTACGCTAGACTTAATAGACACCTTATATAACTCTCGTCGCAAGCTCCTCGAGTTGCTCTAGGTGCCTATTAAGTCTGTCGCTCCGCTCGAATAACCTAGTAACTATTATAGCCGGCAATCGTAGCTAGTAGTCGAATAGGAGTGTCCTTATAGTAAAACTACGCCCTAGTAACGGTAACTACGCTCTAGTAACGGTAAAAGAGCGTAGTAAATGTAACATATTTACTATTATAGCCGGCAATCGTAGCCGGCAGTCGAATAAGAGTGTCCTTATAGTGAAACTAATATAGTCTCTAGTTTAAACTAGGAATCTATATAGTTCGAAAAAACCAAACTAGAACTAGGGAGCTAGTTCGCCGCTAAGAAACTAAACTATATACGTTTAGTAGTTCGGAAACCGAACTACTACGGGGTCTACGAAGGCGGCGATAGTCTAGGGAAACTAACGGGTTTTTATTACTAGAATCGACTGAATCGTCCCCTTCTTTCTTCTCTACTAAAAAGTTAGCGATTCTAACCGCGCTCTACTCTCGTCGTAATCTTATACCTAGCACAAAGTTGCCCTATACCTACGGCGCTAGTATATCCCTATCCCTACCTTTTCTAAGGTAGTCCGCAATTTATATAGTATTAGAAGACATTAAAGGTATAATTTAAATAATAGAAGAGATAGAAACGATAGTAGAATAGTTAAAATAGCGATAGTAAGATACGATAGTAAGATAGAAAACAATAACCTAAACAAACTAGTACGCGTCGACGCGTAGGAGCGGAAGCGTATATAATTTACGCTAACCGCCGCTCTATAAGGTCTAAAGCCTTAGGGCTCTTAAGCTAGAAGGTTCTTCCTACTTTAAGGTTAGGATACTATCTAGTATATTCTTCCTAGAATCTTTCTATAGTAGTATAGTTTCCTTCTTATTAGGGCTATAGTCTCTTATATATAACCTATAGACTAATATTTAGTAGGCTACCTATAATATCTCTCCTCGAATATCTCTTATATCTATTCCCTACTCCCCTAGAGCTAGGCTTTTGCTATTTATAATATTACAAATATAGTAAGATCTCTGCTAGGTTATTTCCTAACTCTAATTACTCTAGGGTCTCCTATCTCCTTTAAGAGTTCTATATTACTCTTATTAAGGGTCTTTTCTTTTTTTAAGGCATCCCCTACTCTTATATATACTATATATGCCTCCTATAGGAGGGATCTAGGCTAGGGAGGGAGAGGAGGCAGCTAGCCTAAAGGGTAACCTATACCTAAGATACTAGCTACTAGCCCCTATAGGAAGGTTTCGGTTTTCGTAGGTAGTCGCTAAGGTCTTTAATTAACTATACTATTATCGTATTCTATTAGTAGTAGAGGATTATAGCTATATATCTCTAGAGAAGGGAGGAGAGAAGGGCCTCCTATTTATTAGCTAGCCCCTTAGGGTAAGAGGTAGCGGCCTTTATTTCTTAGATTAAAGAGTTTGTATTCTCTTATATCTAGTAGTTCTCTTCTTCTAATTAAATGCCTACCCTAGCCTAGCTCCCTCTTAGGATAGGTTAGGACTTTCTTAGGCTAGAGAAGCCGATTAATAGAAGCTAGGGAATTCTACCTCCTTTATACCTCTTAGTAGTAACCTAGATCTTCGCGAGTCTATCTAGATAGACTCTAGTATACTAAGATACCTAGAGGCCTTTTTATAGTACTATCGTTCTTTCGATACTAAGATAAGAATTATAATAAGACGATAGAGAGTATAACTCTAGTAAGCTAGTATAGTCGTAGCTAGTATAATACTACTAAGGGTTCGGCGACACTCGCGCCTACGATACTATTATATTAGAGAAGAGCGCGTACGTAATATACTCTATATCTTCTCTCTATCTACTATTACTATCGCTACTATAAGACTGCTATAATTTACGTAGCGGCTACGTCTACGTAGATAGCGCTACCGGTAAGCTTATAGAGCGCGATAGAATACCGCAAATTTCGTAGTATCTAAATCGATAGAAATAAAATAAAAATATTCCTATCTTTACTATTGCCTATTTTCTACTATATATTTCGCTCTCCTTTCTTACTCCTTTCCTTTTCTCTCTACTACTGTACTGTCTTTCCTGTAATAGACCGACCCTCTACCTACTACTACTGCGAAAGTTATACCGACCGTATGCGCCGTTTTCGCGAAATAGTAGTAAGATATAATAATCTACGCTATTCTAATAGCGGAAAGGGACTCCTTCGACTAAACCTTATTCGCCTCTCTTTTTATCTTCGTTAATTCTCTATATACTCTCTACTTTTTACGCCGATACTGTACCTCCTTCTATAGTAAAGAAATATAAGATACGATAGAAGCCGCTTTCTAGTATATAGATAGAGCTAAGCGAGCGGAGACGTTTATACTAGTAGTAGCTATATAAATAGAGTATACTAGCTAATTAGATAGTTCTAGAGGTTATATTCTCGCTAGTTATTCGTTACGAAAACTTCTTTTCCGATCGCGACGATCCTATCGATCCTAGCGATCGCGAGCGATCCTAAGCGATCCCGAGCGATCCTAAGCTATCCTAGAACGATAAAAAGGTAACTTATAAAAATTAGACTTTAACCTAATACTATACTACATATAGAACATTTTTGTTATATATTACTAAGCCGTAAACCTTCTAGATAAAAAGATATAAAGGAAAGAAAATCGCTTTTCTAGACATTTTACTTCTGATTTATCTTTTTTTCTAGTAGGTTTATAGCTTAGTAATATAGTAAAAAGATACTCCATTTTTAGTATATTATTATAAAAAATATAAAATTTATAGATTTTCTACGAAACTAAAGCTAGGGAATAGAAATAAGCAATATAGTATTTTAGCTTTTCTAAGTTATACTTTACTATTTTTAGAAATTTAAAAAATAGAACTTAAAGTTCTACCTACTAATAAGCGTATTATAAATTTTTAAGTCTTAATACCTAGTAGTTATCTTAGAATCTGGAAAAGAATCTCGAGTGTTTCGAGTGTACTTTTTTTCAAAGTTCTGCTTATTAAGCGTCGGCTTTTAAAAGAAACCTTAACGAAATATCGGCTGCATTTAACGAAACCTTAACGAAAAAATTTATTTATAAAAAAAACCTTCGAAACCGCTAAATTTAACCTATATTAGTGCGTAATACCCCGATATACCTCGTAGTAGTAGTAGTAGTAGTAGTAGCAGTCGGGCTCTAACTTATCCCGCGTCCTTTGCGTTCCTTAGCCTCGAATTTCGGGACGGCCCGTCCCGAAATTTCGATCGCGAGGATCCTATCGACGGAATCGCGGGGCGATCCTATCCGATAAGATCTTTAACGTACGATCCCGAGGATCCTAAGCGATCCTAAGCGATCCTATCGATAGGATCGTCGCGATCGGAAAAAAAGTTTTCGTAACGTTAGAAACTAGCTCTAGTTAGCTAAATACTAAACTATATAGCCTAACTATATACTATACTACGTACTATAGGATAGGAGATTTAATTCCCTTATTAGCTATATCGCTTTTTTAGATTTATAGAATTATTTCTATTCTACGACTCTCTAGCTAATTAGATCGGTTCTAGATAGTAAGAGTTATTCGCTTATAGTCCCTATAGATATATAGGGTAGCGACTAGCGAGGGTATAACTTTTAGTATTAGAGGTTCGAATTCTCTATTAGCTATCCTTTTACGCTTACGTAAGGCGGCGGCTACGCTCGCGAAAGGGTAGCTATATCTACGTTTTTTTAAAGTTCCTATATAAAATTTCCCTACGCTCCGAAATTAGACGGCTACTACGCGTATTTTAGGGATATTCTAATATTATATAATATATATATATATATATAGTAGTTATAAACTTTTTTAGATTTATTTAATATTTAGATATAACTTTATAGATAGTATATACTAGTATAGTAATATCTATCTACGTATCGTTACTACTCTAAAATAGAAACTCTAGAGTTCTCTGCTCTACTCGTCGTCGACCTGCGCTATATTATATTCCTCGGCCTCTTTTATCTTTTCGACGATTAATTCCTGAATCCATTCCTCGGCAAGCTCGACCGCGGTTCGTGGCTCCTTTTTGTATTTCATTAAGTGGTTTTGGATCTCGGCTGGCGTAAAAGTATTAGTCGGAACGAGGCTGGCAAATTCTATCGCGAGCTCCTCCAAGTCTGCCGGCGACATGCTTGAAAGCTGTGTTCTGCTTTTCGCTTTCGCGGTGTGGCTATCGAGATTGCTATTTGTCTTCTTTCCTGCGAGGCCATTGCTATGTGGCTGAATCGCGCTCCCGTTGATGTAGGCTTTCATTCGTCCATTCGAGCTGAGGCTGATTTTGGGCTCCATGTCTGGCACTTGGTCGCTCGCCGCGTACATTCGAGTAAACAGTTCGCTGATCTGCTCCTTCATAGCGAGCTGGAAAGCCACTTTGCGATCCACTCTGCCCGGTCGAACCAAAGCAGCGTCAAGCTTTTCGGGATGATTAGTGGTCATAATCAGCACTCGCCCTTCAGCACTTGCTACGCCATCTATAGCATTCAGTAGACCTGAGCGCGAGATACCAGTGCCTGAAGCACGGTTTGCAGCGTTACCAGAGTTGTTATTGTCAGTTCCGCCACGGCGCCCTCCTCTAGAGGTGTTGCTGGCTTTCAGTTCGCGAGTCAATTCTTTCAGTGTGCCCGCCATAGTGTACTCGCTGTCCTTTTCAAATTCGCCGCCATTCTTGCTCCTAGCTCCTTCCTTCTCCTTTTCATCATCGTTGCCCTTTCCAGCTGCAGCGCCTTTTGGCTTATCGTCATCTTTGCTCTGATTGTCGCGAAGAAGGCCTGCAGCATCAACGTCCTCAAGGAGAACGATACAGCGGCGTGGCAGTCCGTTGAAGAGCTGTAGGAGATCTCCTTCAGTCAATGTCGGTTCCTGCAAGCTAATGGCATAGATCTCCAGACCAAATATGCCTGCCAGCGCAAAGCTGAGACTAGTTTTGCCAGTCCCAGGTGGCCCATGAAACAGGTATCCACGACGGTATGGAATTCCTCGAGTAGCATACCATCGTGGAGAAGCAGGATGAAGGTACTCGTTCATGTCTCGCACTATCATTGACTTTTGCGTAGCATCTAAAATGACAGTTTCCATTGGGCGCGAAGGTCGACTAGCAGTCTTGGACCAAGAACCACTAAACCTCGATCGATCTCTTGCGGTGGGATGCCGAATTGTGGTCGTACCACGCACTCTATTCAGTGACCATATCTTGATGGTCCTCAACAAGTCCTTGATGGGCTCCAAAGAACGGCCAATGCAGTCGATCTGGAGCAGTTCGTCCTCTGCATTGCTCCAAGTCACTTGAACGCGCTGCCCACCTTGCTTCACAGACCTCTTGAAGAAGAACAATCTCCCCTGGTGGAGCAGATAGTTGCGACCGTAATATGGCTCGTACCGAGGTGGAAGTCGAGCACTCCATTTTGTGTAGTCAAACATACCGTTTTCGTCCAGAGCATCCCCCGGTGTATCGTCAAATGCATCCTCAACCTTGGAACCTTTTTGTGTTTTAGCTCTTAGACTTCTTCTCGAACCTGTTTGCTGGTTCTCTGCTAGCCAGCCCATCACCATGTCAAAGAGGTCATCATGCTGGTCGATGTATACTGACGACATGAAAAGGTCTCGGAACAACTTCTCGAGTGTTAAGAAGAGATACTGTCCTCCTTTGGTCAGAGCTAGAAGCACGATGCCGATCGACACGAAAATGCTGATGTCTATGCCTAAAGTGGCTGCAATATATCGAGATATGAGGCCATATCCCGGGATCAATGACTCCAAGATGTTTGGTGGCAGATCTGTGAGTGCAAGTGTTTCATTGCTGCTTGGCATGGCTTTCACCGTCTTGCGAAAGTCCATCCTGATAGGTATGTATTCTTGGCTGATGGTTCTGCTTCGTTTGTGGCAAGCGTCTTCCAGAGACCAGCTTTTGAGACACCAAGTATCTTGGGTGAAAGAACGTCGTCAATAGCAGCAAGCAACGCGGAGGAAGGCAACCGGAAAAGCACTCTGTTCGAGAAAGCGCCACTGTACTGTGAGGCGTAAACGACTGCTGCCTGAGAAGGAAGTGTGGATTGGCGAATAGAGTAGAATGACTCGAATGGTCTCCGCGGGCCGCTCCTGCATTCTGCAAGGTGACGAGGAAGTACCACCAATGTAGATGCATGAAGCGCTGCTGATCTCCCGTTCAGAACCCTACGTGTAGGCAGGCAGTGCAGTGTCGGTGCTCGGCCTTCGCGATCGCGTTGCTAGCCTATGATAGCATACAACAGCAGAGTCCCAAGTTGAAGCCCGGTGAAGATTGCTGCGGAGCTATACACTGCAGCCAGACAAGAAGAGTGGCAACACGCCGGTGTTCTGACAACAGCTGACGCAAGTTGCAACCACAAGAGACCTTTAGCAATCTCGAGTGTCAGAATTTAGTGGTGTTCACCAGGGTTAGTAACTAAGCCTATCTGAGACGGCTCTTCCGAGGCCTTTAGCAACCTCCTTTTGCCACCTCTTAGCTGCTTAGTTATCGTATCTATAGTAATATAACCCTAGCTCTTTAATATAGACCTTAGTTAGTATATAGTAGTATTATTATCGGATTAAAATAGACGCTTAAGTTAGGCAATTACTACTAGACTATTAGGTAGTTATCGGACAAGCGGCTAGCGTATATCTCGAGTCGGTAGTCGATATTATCGTAGATAACGAGGCTAACGAGGCGTACGTAGGTAATTAAATAAGAAGCTTATATCCGGACGATTATAATCGGCTTAGAAGGACGAGGTTAGCGGACCTAATAAACGATTAGTATAAGCGTAGATTTCGCTTCTAGAAGCAAGACCTATATAGGTTAGTAAGGCTGCTTAAGTTAGACTAGATTAAGTAGCTATACTATATAGAACCTACTAAGGAAAAAGCCTTATTAGTACTTCTATAGCAGTTAGTAAGTAGTGCGAGTTAGTAGTTACTAGCGTACGACTTTAGTAAAGGGCCGACCTAGATTAGTATTATATTTAATACTATTCTTAAGTATTTAGACGACTTCTTTAGCGATAGATTGCTATTCGATACTCGTCGCTTAATCCCTTAGTATTTGCGGAGGTACGTAGAGGTATTAGAACCGGACGTTAGTCTTAGTAAAGTATATAGATTTATTAATAGTACCCTTCGTCCTTACTATAGGCTAAAGTATAACTAGAAGTTATACTATAGCGGATATAAGAGAGTATACGGTATTAAATTCTAGGCGGTTGTTACTCTAAACAGTCTGCTATCGTTATTATATAGTCCTAAACCTAGCTCTTTTAGGGATTCTCGGATAGTATTTAAATCTAATATTTAGTAGATTTAGTACGCGCTATTCGATAGATACAGATTAGAGGATAAGGTGTTTATTTATAGCGACCTAGCGTACGTAGTAGCAGATAGTATTATATCTGCTTTTAAAGGTTAGAATAGTTAACCTCGTACGCCGCTATAGAGGCAGATAGACTAGGAGATGTCGGCTTTAAGAGTTACTATAGAGCATATATTCGGACAGATATTAAATCTATAGTAGATTAACTTAGTTAAGTAGAGAGCGGACTTATAGGCTATTAGGTCTATCTATCGAGCGTGCGTTCTCCTTACTAATTGCTATACCTACTATTATAGAAACTAGGTATCTATAGGTCGTATAGATCTACCGGTATTAGAAGAATATCTCTATTCGAGGGCAACTAATGCTTAAATTAGTAACGAGATTAGAGCGCTCGTTACGACGGTTCTTCCGCTAGGATAGTAACTGCCGCGACTAGAGCGAGGTAATAAGGGCGATAAAGGAGATAGGTATACGTCGCTAGCGATAGAAGACAAGGATAGTAATAGTAATAGTAATAGTAATAGAAGAACCTAAACGATAATATCGAGAAGTTAAAGTATAGCTTTACAATTCTAAGGGTATTCTTAGTATTATACTATAGGAGCGAATACATTTCGAAATATTAGTATATATCTAGAAAGCAGCGAAAATAGGTAACTAGAGCGTCTATACGCGATTCTCGTAATGTCTCGGCGATGTTATTAACCTATAAGTAAGTAATAGTTATATACTACTAACCCTACCTAAATTTCCCGCGATAATCTCGCGATATAGAGAATAATAAGGCAACGGCAAAAGCGACTAATTCGTTAAATCGATACTAAAGAGCAATATTGCTAACAAATAAGTAGGGATTTACTTTAACTAATCCCACAAAACGAACTCTACACTATCACAACTACTACCCACTCCTCCGAGTCGAAAAAGTCCTCGAGGACCTTAATATCGTCTATATTATTATTATTCTAATCCTAATCGTAGCGATCTAACTACCCTATCTACTATAAGAAACCTAGCTTCGGTAAGCGCTCGAATAGCTCTAGCATTAGTATCTTGCTCTTCCTACGGCAGATAACTTATAATAGTACTTAGGTATAATCCGGATATATACCTATTACTATCTAGCTAATATTAGTAAGTTGCTAGTTAAGAAAGGGATAATAGTACTTATAATAGCAGTATTAGGGTGCTATAGTTCGTTCTTCTAACTATTAGTTAGGCCTCGAATATAGTGCTAATTAAGGGCGGTTAGGCCCTCTTTAATCTTCTCGAAGTGCGGTTTTAGCAATTCGTTTAGTTTTAAGAACGCTCTATTAATCGAGGCGTTATTATTACGCTTACGGCGGCGTAGTCGTATCCGCTAAGTCGTCGACGGTATAGAAGGCGTAGATTCTTCCGGTTTAGTAGAGGTCGCCTAAGAAGAGCTACTACTATTTAATCGACGTCGCTTCGAGCCTAACTTATCTATTAGACTATCGCAGATAACGATCTCCTTACGCCGAGTCGCCTCTTTCTATTCCTTTATCGCTATCTTATCGAAGAGCTAAGGGTTTATATGTATAGCGTATTTAATAAAGAAGTCCTTCGCTTACGAGAGGTTATCGTTACTAGGCGCTATACTAGTAGAGCGCTCTTTAGCGGCCTACTCCTTTACCCTTTTAACTAACTTAACGTTATAGCTCTACTAGAAGCTAGAATTACTACTAAACTCCTTCTTACTATTAGTACAAGCCTACGCATTTATACGACCTCTAATAAGCCGATAGAAGTTAGTAATATTGCCCTTCTTATAGGTATACTTTATATTATTTACTTGCTAGAAGACAACTAACTCTATTCGAGCCGATAGCTTGCCTAGCTTTAATAGGTAAGCTATATTACTACTATCCTTCTAAGATAGTGTTTCTACGGTCTTAATTAATAGCGAAGGTCTAGGTAATAGAGATAGCCGTAACTAACTTACTAGAGTAGTTAGTAGCGGTATAGATACTAGAGAGGCGTATTTACTAGATCTAGTCGCTAAATCGATAACTCTAGATAGTAGATAGGGGGAAGGGAGATAGCGACCTACGAAGGTATTATAGAAGGCTATAATAATCTTAATTCGCTAACAAATTAGTAGAATAAGAAGACGAGCGATCTACTACCTACTATCGAGTCCTCTAGCCGCCTTATTACTATCCCTCCGAGTCCCTTACGAAGCCTAATTTCTACCTAAATTTTCTATCTAACGTTACCTTCTATACTATTATATACTACTAATATTATTCGTACGACCTTAACTATTATTAAGAGCTTGTAATGTATTAATACTAGTAGCGGTAGAGCCTCCGGAGGTGTTATTTAGTATACTATAGAGCGATCGATAGAAGGTTTAATATTATAAGGAAAGGTAGTTACTATCGCTAAGGCCGCTATACTACTTCTATATCTACCTCTTTTAGTAATAGACTTATTGTATTACGACCTACGGCATTACAATCGATTAGCTACATATAATATAGTAGATACAGTAGATACAGGTAGTAAACCATTAGTTAGAAGTTGTTGTCGGAACTGGACAGCGACACCTCCTGCTAAAGGTCTCTACAGAAGAGGTTTCGGGGGTGCCAAGACTCTGCGACCAGGTAGTTCTACAGCCGCGGCTACTGTAGCCGAGTTGGATGCCCAAGGATAGGATTTCCGCATTTCTGGACTTGCTGAAAGCCTTCCAAGAGGTCTGAACACTGCTCTGGTGGAACTTGGAAAACATCAAGGCTACTTGATCAGTGCATTACAGCTACAGCTGTTGGAGAAAGATTGCTGTATGTGGTTCTCATACAATTCCAACCAAGTCGTCAGAATGATAAGCATTTCTTTGAGAGCCTTCAGTAGTTCAGTCCGTTTAAATCATACCGGACCAGTCGATTCAAGGTCAGTTGCGTGAACCAAATGGCATTACCTGTGCCTCTTGTGAACGGATTTCCAACAGGCCTGCAATATATTCCGGTGCCTCCGTAGGCAGGTGCGCTGACTGGCGTTGCAGCAACAGTACCCGGCATGATGATCTCAGTGAAGTTTTTGGTCTTTGCGTTAAACACACCGAGCGTGTTTTGTAGGGTGTGCGAGATCCAGACGTTGTTATGATAGTCTTGTGCGATTTGCTGAGCATTTGAGGCGACGTTTTCGGGATAGCACACGATCTGTTTCGTGCGCTGATTGATCGAGCAAAGCGAACTTCCAGTGAATGCCGCGAACCAGAGAAGGTAGTCTCCATTGGGTGCTTGTGTTTCGGCACGCATCACCACGGGCGAAGCGCCGTTCGGCAGTGGGACCGACCATTCCCCAATCTTGCCAGTACTTCGGTCAAGACGTCCAATCTTGTTCACTGCCAACAATTTTCAGCATTGATTTCCCTAGCGGTGACAAGAGGTCACTACTTACTACCGAACTCAAGAAACCAGATCCCACCATCCTTGGCGTGATAGATACCAAGCGGGATTGAGAGAGGCGTTGGGATGTCGAAATACTTGAATTGTTTGGTGATGTAGTCAAATTTGGCGATTGTGTTCATGCTGGTCTGCGTGAAATATATGCCGTCTGGCGCCGAAGTGAGATCGTTCAAAGGTTGAGCATTTCCCAGCGGCTGAAGTAGACCCTAATGATTGAAAGATTGACTCGTCAGCGGAGTAGCTTGTAGAGTGGCAGAGGGTGTCATTAGACCTGCTTACTGGCGGGGTGAAGACTTGTATGTTCTCCGTCTTCGCATCGAACTGAACGAGCTGATTCCTGAGGCCGTTGCTGAAGTACATCTTTCCATCGTAGCCATTGCGGATCGCGCAGGCCAGAAGGACGGCTTTGGCCTGCGATGGCAGTGGTATGGTCTGATTTGGGAAGATGGGGGTTGTGAATGGGATGGGAAACTCCTTCAGCTCACCAGTGTTCTGATTATAGCGTGCTATCTGGTTTGCCAAGAGCTCTTGAATGTAGACATGGCCGTCAGTGCCCTCAGACACATCGCAAGGACCAGAGAACGGGGTAGTCATGTGCTTGTATGTGAACCTGGCAGGGTCACCTTGAACGAATGTTGTAGCTGCCCAACTTGTGGCAGCAAAGCCGAGCAATACGAGTGCTTTCGCCATGATCACAATCGCGTCCAGACGCGTGGAGATGAGCAGCCAGTAAGGTGAAGCCTCGAACAGAAGGCGAGACAAGAGAGGAGGAGGGAGGAATGGATTCAGGCATACCCTATATGCTACCGTTTCTACCCCGAGGCGTCGAGCTTGCTCTCACACCTTCGGCATCCGAGCCGATGCTGTCGGCCATCGCGTTCAAGAGAAAGCCACGATGAAGCGGTGGAGGGGGAGGGGAGAAGTGGTGGCTGATCGTCGACGGCAAAGGTCGCATTTGGCAAGCGCGATGAGGGGCGGAGGGCGTGACTATTCATAAACCTGCCCTGGTTATTCGTAGACCGCGGACCGAGAGCCGGCTCCGGCCTCGGTGAGACTACATTGCTAGTAATCCACACTGTAGAATATCGCAACAGAGGCCTCTAGTGCTCTCGTTAGCGCTAAGTAGAATTATAACGTAAGAAAGAGGAACTAAGTAAATAATAGATATAGAACTAGATAATATAGCTAATCCTAACTATTCTAGATATACTGCCTACCTAGCAAATAAGGTTCTACGACCCTCGCATTAACGTATAGCTCCTACTATACGATCTTAGTGTATTCTAGCATTACTACTAGCGCTATAGATACTAGTAGAGCCCTCGGAGCGGGCGGAGGTCCTTCCTAAGTAGGTAAATAAGTAGATATAGGGTTTCTATCGCACTACCTATACTTATAATAGCTAGAGTAGCAGTCTATATTATCTTTAACGCACTTATATCTCCTATAGGCCGTTTTGTATATACAGCCCTTACGTAAACGTTCTCGTAGTACTAGTAGCGGTAGAATAGGCCTCCTAGGCTTAGCCTATCTTATCGCTTCTTGCTAGTTAATAGCGGCCTATCTAGCGGCCTGTCTAGCGGCCTGTTTAATTAGCTTAGGTCTAGTAGCCTTACGCCGAGTCGTACGACTAAGCCGCTTATTAATCCGCTTAAGTAGCTCTAAGGTACGGTAAGTAGTTATCTCGTTGCTATTATAATCGCTCCGTAGTACTCGCTAGTGCTTCTCGAATATACGAATAGTAAGAATGCCGGTTACAGACTCCTTAAGGGCTAGTATCTAGTATATATAATTTAAGCTATAGACCCTTCGATAATACTAGGTGCAATCTAATAGCCTATAACTGTTAGACTTCCGCTTCTTAAGCTCGGCGCGTACGAGAGCCCTTCGCTCGGCTACTTTACGTAGAGCGAAGGTACTAATATAGCTAATAACTTTAGCGTAGAATAGATCGCTTAAGAATAGTATAGTAGGTCGACTAATCTCGGCTCTAACTATAAGCCTATAGCGGTTAACTTAGTGCTAGAAGTAGGGCACTATCCTATTAATAAAGCTATAGATGTCGTTCTTATAGGTCGTTAACTATGCCTTAATGCTAGCGTAACAACCTTCTACTAGCGAGGTTGTTGTATTGCTATAATACCGCGTCCTATTAATCTAGTATTTAATATAGTACTGTCGATAGACCTACTATATATTAGCTATATAGCTAGCTAGCGATTGCTAGTCTTTATTGTCCGAGTAGTCGCGTATAGGCTCGCCTTTACTAGCGGCAATCTTGCCGTTCTCGAGGGCCTTCGAGTTAGTTGTAAACGACTTAACCGACGGTAAGTTAATAGCCTTATTAAATAGGTCTATAAAGTCCTATACGGCTACACTTAATAGCCTACGCCTTATAGTTAGATCCGGCGGTCTAGTACTAAGGAAGGCCTTCGAATTAGCCTCTACTGCGCGTCTAATATGCTAGCGGCAGAGCTATGTATATAAATAAGTCTAGTCGCTTGCTAGCGCCTTTATTAGTGCCTTATTACGGTTATAGATTATAAGGCGAGGCTCTTTATAGGTATATTCTGCTAACAACTCCTACGTGCACTAAATAGTAATTAAATACTACTTAGTCGCCTGTCTAGGTATAAAAACTAGTGCTAGAGGGAAGGTTTAGTTAAACTAATTAAGTAAGGCAATTATAAGCAATAGCATACTATATTCGTTAGTTTTGTAGGTGCAATCTATAACTATAATATCCGGACAATTCTTGTAGATATTAATTATCTTAGGGTACGAGAAATATAGCTATTCTAGCCGTTGCTTACCGCTTAGTCTAGTGCTAATACCCTTCCGTACGAAGTAGTTCTATTATAGGAGGTTCTTAATCGTCTTGTCGACTACTAACTTGCTAGCGAGTCGCAACTTCTTAGCCTTTTGCTAGGCATTTAAGATGTCTCGTAAAGTAGCAGGTATAATAGGCGATTGCTAGTCTCTACTACTAAAACGGAGCTTAATAGCGGCCTTAATCTATCGATTGCTAACGCCTATAGACCTTAATTGTAATATAGCCTCGACAATCTCTATCGTACGAGCTCTTCGGCGGTAGTTAGCTAGTACTATCGGATAGACTACTAGATAGTTGTAGTTAGAGCTATTCTATAAGACAGACTAGTAGCTATCGTCCGGATTATACTAATCCTTAGTAGCGAGGGTTACAGACTATAGGTAATCGCATAGCTTAGAGTAACCTTCTCGTGTCTTTACTATTAGATTAAGCTGCCGCCGTGCCTCTCGTTTGTCTTTTATTGCTTTCCGTATTATAGGTATTAAATACCGCGCGTAGCGGCGTGTTATCCGCTAGAGTACGTTGTCCTTATTAAGCTTATAGCCTATCTTCTTCGTCTTAAAGCCCTTCTCTAAAGCGAAGGTTTCTACGTATTCCTCGGCGGCTATAATACTATTAAACATACGGTTTTCGGAGTTCTCGATAGTAGCAAACGAGCCTGCTTAGTATTCTTCTGTTTCCGACTTAGACTAGTTACTATATTCGTCGTTATTACTAAAGATATACGCAGATTAAGAGGTAGTCTCGATTTCTAAGAGAGGAAGTTGTTCTTACTAACTAACCCCGCTGCCGCCGACTATAATACTACTACTACTACTACTACTACTAGTTACAACACTCTTAGCACTAGCGCCGCCCTATATAGGACTAGCCGCCTTACTAACCGTACGAAGCGTAAAGCGTACGGTAGTATGCCCGGTAGCGTGCTATGCTATTATCTTATTAAGAAACGGTAGTACTAGGTCCTTAGATACTATAAACTCCTTATCTAGCTCTTTATATAACTAGGGGTCGAGTCCGTCGTATCTAGCCTCTATTTTATACGTCGTTAGGCGGATATAATTATCCCTTGCCTACTACGCCGTATTAGACCTCTAATCTATAATAATATTATCTAAATACCGCTAATCTATACTATAAAGGTATTCCGTCGATATTAGGCTACGGCTACTATATAGCAACTCTATCTATAGCTTTAAACCTCCTTTATCGCCTTCTTATAGCGGCCGAGCGAAACCCTAGCGCAGGTCCCTTAACTAGCGCTTCTTATTATTAAAGAGCGAGGTATTAGTATATTCTTTATTAGCGGCGGCGGCGGCGGCGGCGGCGGCGGTAGTATTAGCCTATAACTACGTAGAAGGGCTCGATATAGCGGCGATAATATAAGGTGTTAGCGGCAATAAGGTGTTAGCGACAGTGAGGTAAGGCGAGAATCCTATAGCAGAGAAGATGGAGGTAGATTAGTGAGGTGTTACTAACTAATTTGCCTCAGGCTCCTCCGTTGCCGGAGGGCGGGTTTACATATAACTAGGGCAGGTTTATGAATAGTCACGCCCGTGCGCGAACTGTTTTGAACGCGATGCGCTCATGTGCGATGGGTAGGGGTAGGGATAGGGGTAGGGGTCTATGACAACAGCGTCTCGTGGGACGACATTCCGAAAGAAGGATGAAGTCCATGCCGTGCCCAGTGTCATGGGGGAGGAGGGAG